CTTAAAATTTAGACGAAAAAAAACTTGATACTAATATAAATACAATAATAATAAACTTAAAAAATTGCTGAATTTTTAAAAATTTTAAAACAATTACATCCATAATTATGATGTATTTTAATTTGGTTATATACTTTAATTATAAATTTACTTAAATACTTCTTTGTTTGTATCTAATTAATTTAGATAAAAAAAATGGCTATTAATTATTTATTTACAATATGAAATCATTCTTTTTAAATATTTTATTTATTATTTATTTTAAAGACTTATAAAGAAATAGATAAAGCCAAAAGTTTATAAGAAATTAATTTTCAATGCATGATCTTAATTACAAAATGAAAGTTGTACTAAAGATAAGGATACTAATTTTTAGTTTAAATCTAATTTTAGAATACATTATTATTGGCTGATTAATTAATTATCATTATTTGAAAAAACAAATATCTTTTTTTTTACAAAGACAACTATAAAAATATTTAAAATAGAGATTTTATTCTAAATATGATGTTACCACAAACAATTTGTGTTCTCAAAAATCATAAAGGATATACCTATACCACTTAAACAATAAAAGATAGAATGTTAAATAAGTGCATAATTCAAGAAAACTTTTTTTTTTAATTGTCTCATAGATTTGTAAAAAAGAAATAGTGGTATTAAAATTAATTAATTTATTTATTTTAAAAATATTATAATATGATACTGTAACATTTGAAATAATAAAGGAAATCATGAATTGTAGCTTTTATAAGTTAAAAGCAAAGTAATTACTTGATAAGAATTTTTGATAGTCAAAATATTAGTAGAGCTACAAAAAAGTAAAAACAGTATTAATCTAATAGATTTGTTTAGTAAAATTAGTATTGAATTAGTAATGTCATTGTAAAAATTATTAAACTAAAAAATTATTTATGTATTAGAAAAATTAGATAGCCAATCAAATATAAATTAAGTATATTTTAAAACTATAAAAATATTTTTGTAGATAATTATCATAAAAATTGTGGATAATTCATTAATATCATCATCTTAAGATATGCCATTGATTTATATTTTATTCAAAGCTTAATATGTATAATAAACTTAAATTGTACCTAGATAGATTTATGGTAGAAAAGTAAAATATATATATATATATATATATATATATATATTTAAAATACCAAAAATATAAAAAGAAATTAATTTAAATTTTGTATATATATTTATATTTAAGAAATTTGAAGTAAATGTAGAAAATCTTATTTGATATAAATAAAGTTAGTATATTCCATTGAAAATAGATTTTATGAAAAATTAAAATCTTAGATATGGCAAACATAGAAGTAATTTATTTTACATCTGTTGGCATTATACAACAACTAAATGAAGTGCTGTCTACTATTTAAATAAATCACATCTATTGAAAATAGAAATTTAGAAACCAAATGTAGAATATAATAATAAAATAATGGAACAAGAATATAAAAAACAGACATTAAAAAATTAGGATTCTATTGTAATTTAATTAAGATTTTAAGAATCTCTAAGAAATACATTAAAATATAGATCAATTTTGTGACTATTTCTTCTTTTTTTGAAAATATTACAGTTATAATAAAATAAATAAGAAATTTAGTATTACTAGTATTAAGAGAATTTTAAATTTGAAAGATTAATATAGTCTATGCATTAAGCAATATAATATCTTTTTACTGTATCTTTCTAAATCAGACAAAGATGTAACTTTAATGTGATTATTAAGTAAGCAAATAATTAATTAGAAATGTTATGTCAAGTCTTAAAGAAATGTCTAATATTTTGGATGTTTAAATGTATTATATTTGGATTAAATTATAGTCATAACTATTTTCAACTGATAAGAAATAAAAAACTTATAAGATATATATATATATATATATATATATTTATACAGCATCAAATATTTTATTGAAGCAAGTATATATTAATCACATCTTGCAACCATATATAGATAAGTATTTTGGTGAAATAAAGGATATAAAATTATTAGAGAGATATTATAAATTATAAGCTGCAACAAGGGCATCAAAATAATGAAGAATTACAATGCCAAAAATAAAAGATTTTTTCTAATAAGAAGTATTTTTACTTTTTTAATATATTTTTTTAAATCAAAAATTTAATGTGTTTATTAAATTAAAAATTCAAGTGATACATAGCTTTTAACAAACTTCACAACATGTAATGAACATTACATTATTTAAAAATTGTGATACGTATAAAATCATATTTTTATAAATGAGATTTTTATGATCACAAATACAAAGATGTGAACCAAGTGACTATCTTTACATTTATATTACCAAACCAAGTGATTTTGATAAAATAGCAAGAAGATTAATTTTAAAAATAAAAAGAATCTTCTAGTTCGTGTACATAAATCAGTAAGCAAAGATAGAAGGGTTTGATTGATTAAAAAATTAATTATTTGATGCTATTGTATATGAAATTTCTATTAAAAATAGGTTTTCTTCAATTAAATACAATGAAATAACTAATTATTTAGTTACTCTAATATTTATTTTTAAAATAATATGTTAAAAGATTTCACTAATTTAAGTTGTATTATGCATTTTCATATAAGAAGGCCAACTAAGTAGAAATTTGTTGTGTTAATACAACGATTGGAATTTAATTTTTATTTTAAATAATTATATGGTTCTTTCAAATATAATTATTTTAAATTAATGATAGTTTGAGATTATACATATGCAAGTACATATGATTAGAATAATTTTATAAATACATATACTTAAAATAGATTTTTTTGTTTTAACTTTTTTTAATATTATAATGTAAATAAGTTTTTGCACTAAGATTTTGTGTTCAATAAAGAGTATATAGTTAACATGTAATCAGTATTATTTAAAATTATATATATATATATATATATATATATATAATTTAAAATAATATTGATTACATGTTGATAATATATATATATATATATATATATATATATCTGAAAATGGAATCATATATTTGCATGCCTACATGATGAGAAAGAATGAATGAAAAAAACAAAACAAAACAAAACAATAACAACTTTGTCATTCAAATCAGTATAAATAACAGTTTTATACATGATATTGAATCAATCCTAAAAGTTTGCATAAACATTAAATAGACAAAGTAGATGTGTAAGATCTAGTACATCTACTTTGTCAAAAATAGACTTAGTGCAAAAAATACTACATCTTACACATCTACTTTGTCTATTTAATGTGTATGCAAACTTTTAGGATTGATTCAATATCATGTATAACACATACTAGATCTTACACATCGCAGATATTTCTACTGATTTTCCAATGAAAATAAAGTGAGTAGACATGAGAGAACATTAATTTTTTTTTATTTTAAAGAGTGCCGCAAAACATAATTCCTGAAATCTTAGTACAATCAGAAACATTATTTATTTATTTATTTATTTATTTTGTGTATGTGTGCGTGATTGAGAGAGATTGTACAAGTGCAACATATCAAGTATATATGGGGGATAAAGGGTTCATATATGTGTATGTGTGTATATATATATATATATATATATAATATTCCAATTGGGTTAAGAGATGAGAATAAGCAGCGTTCACACTGGAGAAACAGATGAACAGATCTAGGGTATTTTGATGGGGCTTCATCGGTTGGCACCCACCATTGAGTGCCAGTATAACCAACTCAAGCAGCAGGATTATCTAGATCCTTCTACTACCCTATACCCGTGCCAACAGAGTTTTTAATTTGCCTGATTGACTCCCATGAAGAAAGGTTATTGCAACATATAGAAAGAATACAAATACCCAGCACGGTATTCAGGGACGAACGGACATAGGCCCTGCTTTGCTTCATCCAATCTGGGGGGAGGGGCAGTCAATGAATCAGGCTGTGTTGGTCTTTGGTATTCGTGTTAAGGGTCCAAAGCTGGCTTGACTTCATTCATTCATTTATCTATTCGTTCGTTCGTGATTTCATTCGTTGATGAAAGGGTGGTATGGGCCAGTGCCCACTTCCTCACACGGATGAACGTACATCACTTGGATGGATGGGGAAAATACATGGGGAAGGGGTTCCACCTTTGTGAGAGACAAAGTGGGTATTTGATCCCAAAGAATGCAGTGGCTGAATGCATATTGTTCAACCCACTTTGTTTGTTTCTACTTGTCCTAGCTCTGCTAATTGTGCCCCTCCCCTCCCCCTTCTGGATGCTTTCCCTTCGGGATCCATTATTTATTTATTTATTTATTTATATTATTTATTTTTTGCTTTCCTCAATAGCAATTGCATGGCATCTCATCACCAAGTGAATGTAGTGTGACATGGGGGGGGGGCTTCCATTCAAGTTCCAAGAGCTTAAAACAAGACAAAAACTTATTCTGCAACTTCGTCTTCTTCTTCTTCATCTTCAAATTTGTAATATGAATATACAAGATGCGTAGTGTGCCAACAACTTTAAGCTATCAAACACTTGAGTGGAGAGGGCCAAGTCTTGTAACGCTAAAGCCAAGGGAGTTGGCCTTTCATCCATCCACCAAAAGCCGTTCATCCGAAAAATCATCCATCCATACATCGGTCCCATTTGGGTCACCAATCATCTCAACCCCGACATGAGTCAAGGGAAAAGGGGCCAAGTTTGCTTTGCTTGGTCCCACAGCACACCCAGCAAGCCCTCCTTCCTCAACACTACATAAGAGACCGCGAGGGGGAGGCTTGTTTCATGGTCGGAACAGGCGGATGATTCTCTGTGGACAGAAGCAAGGAAGGACGGAAGGGCACTATAGCACCAGAAGAAGAGTGGTGACAGGGGGCGGCGTTCTCTGCTACTACTCTAGTAGTCAGCCCCATTGCTGCTGCTGCTGCACATCTTTCTAGCCTCTAATCCCCAGCGAGCTCTCTCACACACACGGAGCGAGGGACAGAGAGAGAGAGAGAGAGATTGAGAGATTGAGAGAGAGGAAAAAGCGGAATTTCAATCTGGCTTCATCCTACTATGCCATGCCATTCACTGATGAGAGACTGGTATTCTTCTGTTGATTCTCCTCACTTACTCATTCACCACACCCCCAGCGGCGTGGCTGGCTGGCACTCATCAGAGAAACCCCAACATCATCGCAACCAACCTGACATCATTGTTGGTGGTGCTGTAGCGACAACCGCAACAGACAGGGAGGAGGCAAAAAGCGAGTGGCTAGCAGCGAGTGGCGGGGGCCAGGGCGTGGTGGTGCTGTGCTGCAGTTCTCCTCTCTTCCTGCTGCGTACCTCCAAAACTTTGTTTCTTTCTTTGGGTGGAGAGGTCGAGAGAGAGAGCGGCGCGTTGCGATTTCCTAGAGAGATGGCTGCATTGGTGATGTGGGTTTAGTTAAGGGGTGAACCGAGAGGTGGGTATGAAGGACAGACTAGAGGGAGTAGGAAGGAGAAGTGAGTGTTGCGGTGATTAGTGGGGTAGAATATGTGACGTGCAGAGCAGCAGCCGATAGGAGTCTTTTTTATTCGTTGATGTGAGTGACATCGTGGGTTGGGGGATGTTTGTTTGGTGGGGCAGAGGGGAGGTTGTGATGAGGAGAGAGAAGAAGAGGGTTTCTCAAGAGGGTTAAGGTCTTTGCCAGATGTAGAAGGGAAACAGGTGAGGAATAGATGACGATGACGGAGTTTTGCGATTCGGGATGGAATTGTTGCGTCTGCAGGCGCAGCCATGTCCGCCAAGGTCGCGGCCGATCGTTTGATGTGTGAGCGCAGGGGTTGAATTAGAGGCCGGAAGGTGTGAGGCGGGGCCAGGAACGATGACTTCTAGGGTGCCTAGGAAGTTGGTAGGTAGGGCAATGGCGGATTCGATGAGTAGTAGCGTAGATGACGACGACAACTCCCTCGATGGGCGCAACAGCTCGCATGGCGATAGGCGGCAGAGCCTTGACTACATAAACGTCTATCATTCTCCTACCTTCCCAAAGACGGAGGAGAAACCTAAACGCAGAAGCCCGCGGCCAGCTTATGCCACTGGGGATTTGATGAACCATTTTAATGGCTCGGATCCAGTGCGATTGGAGCTGACGCGCTTGGAAAACGAATTAAGGGGTAAGGCATCTGCACTACTATTATCGAGCCTTCGGCAACGTTTAAGATTTAGCTCGGCACTCAATCACATGCAGGCAGGCCTTCTTAGGTCACCGTATGGGGACTATACCGTCATTGTAGGTCGACCCTCCTTCACGACATAGGAACCTTAAATCATGTCTTTCTCGAACCTCTTATTGCATGCAAGAACCCTTTCTCATGGACATCCGGTTTAAGAGTTTCATTTTGCTGGGTAGTGATAGATCTATACAGAGTAACCGTAGTGTGCGAGTCCCACCCCCCACCAAGCCAGCGGTTGGGTTAGTTCTAGGCGATCTTGTTGCCATTTCTGGATGACGAATTTCTAGTTTAATTTTCTCGAGTCAGAATTGTAACAATGTGATGTCATTGATTTAGACAAGAATCGCTCATTGGCGGATGCCCAAGCAGAGATCAAATCCCTCCGAATATCAGACCGTCTAAAACAAAAAGCAGTGGATGAGGTACATATTCAGCCACTCGTGTTGACGCTTGTATGTACTAGTGTGAGGATTCCATGTCCCTAGACTGACAGTTTGAGGCTGAAACAGTTCAGCTGTGCTTGTGACTCTGATAAGCTCGCCCGTTCATTTGCTGAAGCTTCTTATTCTCGAAAGAAGCATCTCCATCAAGAGTTAATCCTGCTTGACTGTCACGTGCAGCTTTCTGATGAGCTGGAGAAAGTCGACGACAAACTCAAAGGGACTTTGGTTCTCCTTGACAACAAGGTACTGATATCAGAGACTCCTAGACTCATTTTTTGTATTGTCAAAGTCCCCGATGCGGCCATTTCTTTAGTAGTACATCGGTTCTATAATGTACCAGATGCAGTCAACAATTTGAAATTCGGTGCGTTTTCACAGAATCTTGAAGTGAAGAAAATGAATGATGAAAGGAAAGCAGCACTAGCAGCACAGACCGCAGCAGAGGCGACTCTAAGAAGGGTTCAGGCGTCTCAAAAGGACAATGACATGCCTCCGTTGGAGGTTATCTTAGCTCCGCTTGAGGCTGAATTGAAATTGGCGCGTCTAGAGGTATGTCTGAACCACGACACATAGCACAGAAGTGAATCATCAACACTACCAATCTTGGAACTATGTCACATGTCCTCCTGAAATTCAAAAGTGTTTCAAATCAAAGAGGGACCAGAACTTCCAACCTGCTCTAGTCGTGTTCCATTAATCCATATCGCAAGTCATGATTTGGTCCTTATAAACGCAACCTCCTGTCAGTTAGTTTACAGGAGACAGCACTCCTGAATCTACTCCAAACTCTGCTATGTATCTCTGTGCAGCGGAAGGTGATAGTGCTGTGGTGGTTTTGACGTTGCAGATTTCAAAGCTACAAGAAACGAACAGAGCTCTGGACCGGTTGACGAAGTCGAAGGAGGCGGCCCTTATCGAGTCCGAAAGGGTGATCAAAGCAGCCGAGGCTAAGGCCTCTATGGTGGACGATTTGCAGAACCGGAACCAAGAGCTGCTGAAGCAGATCGAGATCTGCCAGGTACGTGGGCGTGAGCGGGGTCGATGCACGTATTGGTTGGTGCATGGAAGGTTGGTATTGTGGCAGAGTCGCACACATGTGATGTGCATGTGGATAGTTTGTCCGGAAAGTGTTGGGCGGGGGCCGAGGTGAGAGGCGTGAATCTAAGAGTCGGGGTGTTGGCAGGAAGAGAACAAAATCCTGGATAAGATGCACAGGAGCAAAGTGAACGAGGTGGAGAAGCTGAGCGCAACGGTTCGCGATCTGGAGGAGGCGGTTCTAGCTGGAGGGGCTGCGGTGAACGCTGCTCGGGACTACCAGCGGCAAGTGCATGAATTGATGGTGAGGAGGCGAAGGAAGGGGTTGTGTGTGTTTGCGTGGATGTGGGGTGGAGTGCAAAAGTGTATGTTAGGGGTGTTGACGAGTGGAGTCGCAGAGTAATGGGTGGGAGGTAGATTTGGAGGATGCGAGGGTTTGCGAAGGCGTGGTGCATGGACGGTGGAGTATAGCGAGGTGGAGCGTGGTTAGGTCCAGTGTACAGGAGGGGTGGGTGCAAATGAAGAAGCAGTGAGGGTAACATGGGATGAGGTGTGAGACGAGCGGATGGCAGGCGTGAGTGTTTGGGTGTGGGTGGGTATGGAGTGTGAGGAGAGGGAGGTGGAGCGGAGGTGGCGGTGAGTAGTTTGGAAGGGAGCGTGTGGCAGCGGAATAACATGGTTGGTGTGGCAGGAAATAAAGCGGACGTTGGAGCGTGAACTGGCACGAGCGAAGATCAGTGCGAACAGAGTGGCTACGGTGGTTGCGAACGACTGGAAAGACGAAAGCGAGAAAGTGATGCCGGTGAAGCAGTGGCTGGAAGAGCGGCGGTTTTTGCAGGTAGTGGGGTGAAGCAGTAGCGTGGGGTGAATGGTGGTGGGTGGGAGTCGGGGGTGTGGGGTGAGTCGGTGTTATATTTTGGGGAAAGGGGA